ACAGTTCGGTCTCCCTGTTCTTTCTGGTCATAGAGTCCCCTTAGTTTCCCCGGCTGGTGCACTTTAATTTGCAGGCAGTACGTTTATTTGTGCTGCGCTGGTGCTCCGTGAGGACAAGCCCCGTGTCGGTTTTATTTGCTGTTGTTACCAGTGCCGCTAGCATGTGCCTTTCCCAGAGTGGGTGCCCTTTCATTCATTCCTTCCTTCGTTCCTTCATGAATGAGTGAACAAACAAGTGAGCAAATGCAGTCTCCCCACCATGTGGCCAATGGGCAACGTGTGGGCACAGATGCAGGTGCGCCTCGTGTGAGGCGGCTGACAGAGGAGGCCACCAGCAAAGGCAAAGAGCAAGGAAGGCCGGTTTCAGGAAGGCGTCTGGGCTGGGAGAGGGCAGCAGGTGATGTGTGTGAGGAGGTGCTGCCTGCATCGGGGTGGGATGGAGGATGAGGGCGCCCGCCCCGTGGCACTGGCGTCCCAGCCCTCTTGCCTCGCCGTGCCTCCTGAGGCTGCTCAGTACGTCCAGCCACCTCCTCCTCTGTGGGGCTGGTTTGATGAGACATGGGCGGCAGGGCACGGAGTCTCTGGGCTCTCCAGGGTTGGTCCGCTTTTCTTTCTGCTCTGCTTGCCCTCGTTTTAGGGAAGTAGCCAGCCGCACGTATGGTGAGGGAGAGACTTAGCTTATTTATGGTTGTTGGGATAGAGAGAAACACTCAAGAACAGAGGACATCGAGTCTCAAGCAAAATGAAAGCTGTCCTGTTGGTAGACAATTGTCTCATCCACTAGAGGAAGCATCTTTGAAGTCACCGTACATTTACAAAGAAGGCCAGGGGCGGGGGTGTGGACGAGCTCCGGGGTGGCAGTTCAACTGGAGCTGGACGCTCTGCTCATTGTTAATGTCCTCACTTGGTGCGCGCTGCTTAGTCTGGCGGAGCCTCAGTGTTCCCGTCTGGTAAATGGTGACCCCTGGGCAGGACTAAATGAGAAAGTGAAGGCAAAACCATGTAGTTCTTCTCTGTACTCAATATTGTATCTGTTACGTCATTAAGAATAGTACAGAATATTTATTATGTACTAAGCATAATGCTTAATATTTTATAAAGATTATTGCATGTAATACTTACAGCAGCCCTACGAGGTGGGTGTAATTAAGATCCCCATTTTACCGCTGAAGAAACTGAGACACAGAGAGGATGAAGTCACACAACTAGTACATGGGGGAGCCAGCATTTGAAGCTGGCCCTCCTGCGTCCAGTGCCTGCACTCGTGGCCACTGGACAGGAGTCCTGCTCGTGCTCAGCCGGCCCATCGTTTCTGTTAGTGAGCTGCTGTTTCTTAGCAGTGAGGGAGAAAATGAGACTCACGTTAACACAGTTACTGAAATTTTGAAAAGAGTGGTTGTTTTTCAACTAGAGGGGACTCCTGTATTCCTCTTATTGTCTCTATGAAAATCATGTGCTTTTGGATGTTATGCTTGACACCCTGAATCAGACTGGGGCACTGGACCAGGCTTGTGGGTCAAGTAGCTGTCGCTGATTGCAGGCAGGGCTGGATCATTCCATGTGGGTAATTTGTAAAGAAGCGGATTTCTCAAGCTCATTTTCTTTTTCTAGGTTGGTTCATAGTGTGTGTGTGCGTGTGTGTGTGTGTGTGTGTGTGTATGTGTGTGTGAGACAGAGAGAGAAAGAGAGAGGGGAAGAGAAAAAGAGGACAGAAGCTCCTGGGAACATATTATGTACCCATAAGCAAGCACTTGTCTGTGATTGTAAATCAGAAACTGTAAAATTAGGAAGTTCTTTGAAGTTTGCCCAAAACCTGCTCCACCGCCACCTGTTCCACTGGGGCTGGGAGTCGGATGGCCTGGCTCTGCGGCGATGGCTCAAGCTGTCACTGCACCGGAATGCTCCAGCTTGCCTTGGCCTGGCTGTCATCGCTGGCTCAGTCCCACTCAGGCGGTTCACCGAGTTCTGTCGGGCACCAGGCTTCCAATTAGAGAGAAATCCCACTGTGTGGCCAGCCCCACCAGTGCCACTCCGAGCGGCCCCTTTGCCAAGGCCTGAGCTGACCTCTGATCTGTCACAGATGGGCCAACCCCGCACTGCTTTGTGCGCATTTGGAGGAGGTGGGTGGGGTAGACAGAGAAGCCCAGGGGGAGTCAGAGTGGACGTTGGGCAGAAGTGCAGCTCCTCAGAGCTGGGAGAAGCTGGGCCGAGTTGACAGGACCCAAATGCTGACCTTGTGGAGGGAGACGGGATTTGGGGAAGACCCTGTACCGAACCCAAATCTCAGCAGGGGTTCATTTTCTTACAAACTTCTGAATATTCATCTCAGGCTGGGCTCCACGCCTGCCCAAGGAGAGCCAGGAGCAGCTAACTGTCTCACTCCAGAACTGTCACACTGCTGATGGCGCGTGGCATCGCCAGCTCCCGCCCTGCCCTGCTGCAGGGCCGGTGCAGTCCGCAAGCCCCGGGGCCCCGCTCACCCCGGGCTCAGGGACTGTGCTGTCAGCAGCCCTCGGACTGTACTCATCACTCAGAGCAAGAGAGGACAAGCAAGCTGAATTTCTATTAGAATAAGAGATAGAAAATTAGAGAATTCCATCGCTAATTCTCCAGCAGGATAGAGAGATATAATCTTCCTTCTGGACAGAGGGCTTGCTGAATGTGATTCATTATTGGGGGTGGGGTATGTGTCTTCTTTATTTCCCTATCAGCAATTTCTTTTTATTTCCATCCCTTTTCATTCTTTTAATCACTTTCTTTCTCTGCCAGTCTCTTTTCCTCTGTCTGATTTCCTGGGGCTCCGTCTCTCCCTCGAATGCTTTGTCTCTCTCTTTCCAGGTACCGTATATCTGTAAGTCTTCATCAGAAGCAATAATAAAGACACCAGGCTGGGGACTGACATTTATATACTTGGGCTTAGCCTGACTAGAACCATCGCAATGTGTAAATAATGAATAGCCTGAAAGTGGCAAAGGTCTTCCCAGCTGTTCTTCGGATGATTCTGAGTCTCTCTCTCTTTTTTTTTGTTAAAAAATTGAATTCAATCCACGGAAGCAAAAACGAAGGGTGTTCTCACTCTTCTCTCCTCTCTGGAATTTTTCTCCTTTTAATATTTGCAGCTGGTTTGGGAATTCTAGGACTGTCTTTCCCCGCTTGGCCTTTTTTTTCTGCCCTGTCTCTTTTTCTCCTTTATTCAGACTAGTTAAAACAAAGAAAGCCCTCTACCAGTCAGTGGTACTCACTGGGAGAAGACAGTTCTTCTTTAGGGCGTTAAGGTTTTCCCCATGAGAAGATGGATACTTTTTCTGCTGTAGGCAAGTTGCCACGATTAAGTGATGTGCTGACTCTCTGTTTCTTCATTTGAAGGACTTCGTTAGGTTGATGAAAGAAATGGCTTGTTGCCGCCTCCTCTGTCTGTATGTCTGTCTCATATGGAGAGTTCAGAAAAGGCGAATCTCCCCGAGACAGCAAGGGGGGTGTCATCTTTAGAGTCAGCATTGTTTGTGATATTAGATCTAGCAAATGGAGACTGACCCCAGGCACACCCCCGTGAAATCAGACCACGTCATGATGCAGGCTCAGGGCTGTGATGACCGTGACAGTTGCACAGCCTGGGACGAGCTGATGGACGTGTGCATCTTGTTCACAAGGAGGTGCACTCATGGTGACGTCCATCTCGTGACACTAACACATTCTCCATTCCTCTGTCTCTGACCAGGCCAGGCTCATTCAGCTCCCTTCTTCTTTCCTCTCCTCTGATGAAAGCACTTCCCCGAGTGCTTTCTGGGACTTTCTTCCCATTTCTTTACATTTCTCCTTGGAGAGCCACTCCAGTGGCTTCTGATCCTGACCGTGCATCAGGATCACCCAAGAAATCTTAGGAAAAATACAGATGCCTGAGCCGCACCCAGGAGATTCTAATCCAGCAGGTTCAGGATTCAAGCCTGAAATCCAGAAATTGTTGAAGTTCTACCTTTGATTCTCACGCACACCTCTAGTAGTTCCACAACCCTAGTCCAGGGGCCCCTAGAGGCCAGAGACCATCTGAGCATCCATTCTAGCTGACGCCTAATAGTGGTAAGTAATGTGGAGGAGTCGGCAAGCGCCCCATCCCTGCTGCTGACAGTGCTGCCTCCTCCTGCAGATATTCCTGTTATTCCGGACCTGGAAGAAGTACAGGAGGAAGACTTCGTTTTGCAGGTGGCAGCCCCTCCCAGGTATGTTAAATTAGGTATGACGTTGGCTAGGAAACACATGAATGAATACACTCCAAACACCGTCTTTGGTGGCGCTGCACCCCCGCCCCAGGGTCTCTGGTGATGGGCTCCATCCTAGGGTTTCCATTTTATTAAGGCATTTTCTTACCATTTTAGTCCTTCCCAGCTGCCTAGGAGGCTCTGGGGACAGTGGCCCAGCAGGACTCCTGGTCCTGGTTCTGCCTGTGGTCTCTTCTCACATCCTCTCTTCCCTGCAGCATCCAGGTGAACCGGGTGATGACGTACCGTGACCTGGACAATGACCTCATGAAGTACGCAGCCTTCCAGACCTTGGTGAGTGGGATGGCTTCCACGTAGATGGACGGGGTCCAGGCCACATCCGTAGGGATTTCTCAGTTTCTCCAGCCATATGGCCTCTCCTCTGTGGGTCTCTGAGGCTGCCTGGCAACAGTCCCTTTGCTGGAGGCATCAGCCTCAGGTTCCAGTGTTCCCAGGGCCAGTCTCCCCACTGCTCCCCTGGTTGCCCACATGGCATAGTATATATGCTGGCCCTGGAGCCATCCTGCTGTCATGCCTGCCCTCCTGGTATTGACCCTCCCCCAAAGTGTGCCCTTCCTATAGGATGGCATGGCGGTCCCTCAGTTCTCAGTGGCCACGTGGTCCGCCCCCAGTTTTCCTCTTTCATAAGGCATTCCTGCAGGTCTGGGTTTGGGGCGTTCTACCACACTCAGCCTGGTGGTCCTCACTTTGCTAGAGATCATTGTCCCAAGGCCCCCCGAGGTGCACAGCCTGCCTTTTTTGTTTTTTTTTTTCCCCACGTTCATAGGATGGAGAGATCGACCTGAAGCTCCTCACCAAAGTCCTTGCGCCAGAGCATGAGGTTCGAGAGGTACGTAGCCCGAGTTGCTCCTGCCCCGCGGCTGAGTCATTCCTGTGAGCAGCTGGCTCCCTGGGCTGACCTCAGCGGGAGGCTGGCAGTGACACCTCTCTTGGCAGGACGATGTCGGCTGGGACTGGGACCGTCTGTACACTGAGGTGTCCTCAGAGCTCCTCACCGAGTGGGACCCACTGCAGGTGGACAAGGAGGACCCTGTGGGACAGCGCGTGCACACCTGAGCCCCCTGGGTCAGCAGACACTCCCTGCACGCAGTCACCTCTGCTCTGGACTTAAAAACACCATAAACCTAAAACTAAAGAAGTTTGCAAGCAGCTTACAAATTTTTATGCACTATTTGGTAATAAAAATACTTTATTTTCAGTAGACCACACTGGCTCATTCGATTGTAAAAGACGGCTTTCTTCCTTGCCCCTTCTTCCATTTCTTTCCAGCACCCTCATGGAAGGCTTGGTCAGGACTGAAGGAGGGCAGCTTGCAAGCCATCTGCTGGGAACTCTCCCCGTGGCTGAAGAGCAGGAGGGAAAGCTTGATTCTGGGGGAGAAGCGGTGGCACTCCTGGAGGTCGCTCAGCTCACAGAGGCCACAGCAGCTCCCCGGAGCACCCACCTCTGAGCACCCGGACGCGGGGAGATGGAGGTGGCAGGCACTGCCTGCTGGGGTCCTGGGGAGGGCCTGGCAGACGCCTTTCTCACTGTGCACGGTCAGTTATGTTAGTGAAGTTGCACTGTTTCCTCTGCTTTCAGGTCGCATAACTGAAGAGACAGCAAGCGGTGGGTGTGACAGGGTGACCCATTCCTCATGTTTGGTGGCTCTTCTGACAGCACCTCCCCTTCCCCTTCTCCCTGTGGCCACACCTGGGGTCCCAGAGCAGGCAGTTTCCTTCTGCCTCGCATTCTCATCAGCAGGGGCCAGCATGGCAGCCTAGAAGTTTCCACAGAAATACTCTCTCCAGGAGCCTGGGACTCCCTCCGACCTTCCAGAGGCATCGCTGTTTGTCTCCGTTGCTCCACAAGCTTC